CTGTATTGTACATTGGATGGTTAGATTACCATTGGTACTGTTACAGTAGGCTGTAGAAAGTACATCATCTGTGTGACATGGAACCTATTCTGGTTTATTTGGGAGTATTGTACACTGGATGATTAATCTGCCATTGTTACAATAAGACGGCGAAAACGCATCAGATGATTTCATGAATTTCGTCCATCCCCATGTGTTTTTCGGTTCAGTAAATATGCTTTTTGATTCACGAGAGACATCATCAGTATCAGGCTTTTGGCTAATCACAGTCAGTCTGTTAAAAGAAATTTAGCAATATAAACGAATTGTTCTATTTCAGATTCTGTTTTTAATCACAACTCAAGCTTACCTGTAAGGAATTTCTGTTTCATTGTGGGATGTAATGGGCATGGTGTTACTTAATGACTGTGAATCTTCTTCAATCTTCTTCAGAAACAGTGATACGAACCCTGTTTCATCTTTAGTGTTTCCATTTGGGTACAAACTAATGCACCATTTATTCCCACGTAACCAGAAAGGTGGACTTTTGATAGAAGGTCCATTGGGGGGATTCTTGGCCAGGTTAGGATAGTCACGTACAACCCAGGTGTAGCTACTGTTTCCTAAGAGTTGATTATGGAATTCGTCCTGCGGATATTTTTCAAATATTAGTTTAATTTGTCCTTCAGCTGCAGGCGTAATATAAATGTGTATTACCAATTATTACGCCTATCACGTTTCTGTTTTTGTTTTTTTATCTGGTTGAGCAAGAAGTTCTTTGTGAGGAAATTATCAAAATATTATTTCAATTTATCCTTAGGCTGCCGGCGTATTTTAACAATTGTTCACCAAAGGCGAAGTGAATATCGGTAAATATCTACCGAGACGTAGTCGAGTTTTGACTCATATTGACTCATAGCCCATTCGGGATCGAGGACTAATGGCTCAAATATTCTCAGTGCCTACAATGCACATTAATGCATATTGATATATAAGATGTGGAGTAGCCGAAAATGTCTGGACAGCGGTATATTCACGTGCATGACTGCAGGCGTCGCGCATCACATCATGCCTGGGGTTTGGTGAACGGGTTACGCACAATCTATCATCGCACAAATAGGCGCCATCTTGGAAATATGTCCCTTAAAACAGCCCCAAAATGAACTGCAATGGAAACTCCAACCAGTGCTTTCCTCAACTTCAGAACGGCTAAAAGTCTATGCAAAAGCTTTCAAAGAGGACAGTTAGTCAGTTAGCACCGGATCAAAGTCTGCACGATATACGTAAGATGCAGCGAAATTCATCTTCGCAACTAAAGTCTTACCTTCATTTGTTGTAACTCATTCTTCAACTCTAAGTTCTCTTGGGCGAACGTGGAACACCTCAAGGAAAGGAAAGAACATTGTTTCTTTAGCGACGAGCATTCCTTAGCAAGTAACATCATGTGTTCTGCCATGTTTTCTTGTACGTGTTTCTCGACATCTTGGCGCTCAACATTCACTTCACATCCTTGCTCTTTGTATGGACAGTCGACTTGAGCCTTTGGACAGACGTTAGACAGATGATCAGGCATATTGATCCTAAGAATGAACAAAAAGAAAAAAAGAATAAAAAGAAAAGGAGTAAACAAGAACAGCAAAACAAAGTGAATGGGGATGTTATATAAGTGGGGGCAAAGAAAAAACATTCGAACCACATGTCAATGTCATAGCATAATTACTTGAATGAAAACAAGAGGAACTTAATACAGCTATTTCAAATGGCTGCTAAAGGTTTTGTTGCATGCATGTTTTTATACTGAGGGGGGGGGGGGGGGGGGGGGGGACTCCGGGAAAAAAGTACCGGGGATGCTCGTCGGAAATGTTCAAAAAGACCCCTAATTAAAGATACCGGAAGTCTTTAAAAAAGGGCGTGGCTGAATGATTTTTAACCCCTAGGAGATAACACAACAAATAATATTAAATTTTATATAAAAAGCGCCTAGGATAAGCCATATCGATGCACGCTTCTCTCCTTTTCCCACACCCTAAGAGATTTTAGAAAATTCTGATTTTCAAAAATTCGCATTTGACACCCTTACTTCCAAAAATACGCCCCACCAAAAATAAGATCAAAAAGGCACGTTGGGAAAATATAAGCCCAGGGCTTATTTTCGGAGGTTTAGTAATATTTCAAAGCCTCCAATATCGGACTGGACGGGATTTCAAGTCCAAGCAATTATTTCCAGTCCGAAGCGCAGCCGAGGACTGGAATTAATTGCTCGGACTTGAAATCCCGTCCAGTCCGATATTGGAGGCTTTGAAATGACTTCTCATTTCATTAATTATTCGACTTGGAGTAACTGGAACAAAATTAATTCAGTCCTAGGACTGAATTAATTTTGTTCCAGTTACTAGGACTGAATTAATTTTGTTCCAGTTACTAGAGAATGAATTCAGTCCTTTCACATGACTTTACTAGGTTTCTAGTAACATCATGTAACCCAAAAATAGCCCATTGATTGGCTGGTTTCCTCATGAATTATTAATGAGTATGAGAATGGTACGTAAATGATGTCAGAACAGACATTCTCTGATGGTATTCACATCACCTTGGTATGCAACATGGAACATCTTTTACGATTTCAAGTAACATTACCTTTTAACCTTAACAATTAGGAGTTGCTGCAGCTTATCGCTGCATCGGTTAGGGCAACATATCAGGGCCTGTAAACAGTCGTCTCTTGTGTGCTTATCTTTTTCGTGTTGAAGTATTGCCACACCACATATTTCGCACTCCACTTTTCTGAAGTCACATATCTCTTCGTGGTGCTCCAGTTCTCTTCTCAACATTGTTTGGTTGCATCCTACATGAGAACACTGGACCTCCTGGAAAGGACAAGTCTTTCTGTGCTGCGTAAGATGTTGTAGTTTGCCAACCCAGTCACATCCTACGAGAGAGAGAAAGAGAGAAAGAGAGCCAATTTTCAACTTTAGCATGTCTCATAATGAGGTAACAATAATCAAAGCACTGTCTCAAAATGAAACGTTCCTCAATTGAATGTATACTAATTTTGCGCGTTTAGGACATCAAAAGGTTTGGTGTTACAGATAATATAATATATGAAATATCAGTGGCGGATCTAGGGGTGGGTTTTGGGGGTTGCAACCCCCCTTATGAGAGCCATCGTGATTTTTTTTTTTTTTTTTTTTTTTTTTTTTTTCATGACAACACCAACAGCATCGCGAGTTTTATTAAAACAGAGGTGCCAAACACATTTCGCTCGCTTTTTTTCTATACGCCGCGTGTGGGTCCTGAAACAACCATGCTTGCCTGCAGCAAATAATCATTATCATAAGATCTACTTCCGTTTGGGAACCCTGTGATACTTTCTCGCCAAACAAGTACCTCAACCAATGCTACAACCAGCCCCTTTGAAAAAATCCTGGATCCGCCCCTGAATATTTGAATATCAAACGAGTTATTATTTTCAACATTGTCTGATCAGCCTTCAGCAAAATAATGTTTTTTTCCTGACTAAAAAATGGTTTTTGATCCTTTACGACTTTGCCCCTCCTGAGATGGCAATATTACAAATAAACCTTCACTATAAACCTTCGCTTGGCTTGTGTTGTGTTGTACGTGGATGACAGTAGACTTCGAGATTGTCTATGATTCCACTGGCCATTAAAACACGGACAAGATGTTCCTTCGTCAAGAAACCATTGTCCATGGGACATTTCTCGTTCGTCTTGAGCCATTCGTGAATGCAGTCCTTGCAGAATGTGTGACCATCTTTGCAGCTCACAGGATCTTGAAATACTTCATGGCTTGTATAAATGTTTAATGTGATTGAAAAATTAGGAAAATACAGCTCAAATTACTTGGAATTTCAAAAATAGGTATCATTAATAATAATACGAAATAAAGATCCTGATTGCTCTATATTATTTTCTATTACATGTAAAAAGCCTCACTCAGTTAGCGTACTAAACCTACCATATTGCACAGAAAAGGTTTTCATCGACGCCTTTAACGAACTGGTCTGGTTTAAGACCCATTGCTTCAAATTGTGCTCTCGTATACGTACTCTATAGAATCGAAGAATCAAACTTCTAAGAAATCAGTGTAATTTCGATTCCAGGACTGTACTTCCGGTATCAAAGACACAGGAAGCCCAAGCTATTTTTTACACCTGCGGTGATATACATATAGTTTACTCCAAGCTCACCCAATCTCCCCTCGTTACAATCAAGTTCCTTAGGCTTGTAATTTTCTTAAGGGAAAAACACTTGCAATCCTATATTTTGTACAGGAAGCCCCATTTTTGTTAAAAGTGAAAGATGACAATAAAATATGAATTGGGTTCCCTGTGATGTTTTGAACAACAATGGTTTCAATGTTTTACTGTGAAAAACAGTAGAGTGGTACAAAATAACCTACTAACAGTGCATATGTACCATTTGATTTGATTTAAATCTGTAGCTCGTAATCAAATTTTGAACTAAATGATTGGCCACAAACCATCATTTGGTACATAAAAACACCCTCCAAGATAGACATTTAACTTGTTTTTCAATGTGAAATAAAATAATTGAAAATTTTTTTTAATCAACAGTTTGATGGGAAGTTTTTAGAGAAACACAAAGAGTATGCCTGACTCAAGTATACATTTTCTAGCCATTAATTATTAGCATTTATATAGGAGAAAAGTCATTATTTATGTCAGGGCAAGAGTAAAAAGTTTTTGATTTCATTAAAACATTATCCTATACAAGATTTAAAAAATAAGTCTTAGCATACTCTACATTTCCAAGTGCTTGAGATATTCATTCATTCAACAAGTGATCCTCTTTCTCTTGTATAAATCTTCTTCGGCTACAGGGCCTGGTTGTACAAACGGTGGATAGTGCTATCTGATGGATAAATCCTTATCCAGTGGATAAGTTGATGCTGTTATTCAATAATTTTATCCACTGGATAAGATTTATCTGTTGGAAAGCGCTATCCACCCTTCATACAACCAGGCCCTTGGGTATAAGATCCCCTTTAATTTCTTTATAAATTTAATCTATGGAACTCCCTCCTCCCCTCTACCTTTACCAGCCCATCTAGAATAATGAATTGTCTCTAATTCTAAGATTTCTTTCAAATATTTATTTATCATAAGTTATCGTTATTGTTATGGATATTATTTAGCTAGGATTGGGTTTTTATGCTCTGCTTGGTCTTTGATAGAGAGTCTGCATACTGGAATTGGTCACCACGTTCATATTCACTCATGTCCAATGCTACTACACAGCTTTCCTGTTGAAGTTAAAACAATATCATCAAGAGCAAAAGTGACACTTCAGTTTTGCAAATTTTCTAGATTTTTTTGGATATCATTTTCTCTAAGATCTGAGGGAAACAAGGGCTTAAAATAGAGACCAGACATCGGACAATTTGCAGCCCGAACTGGGACTTGTCTGGTCAAACCTCTGGCTTGCAGGTCATTTTGACCAGTAACATTTTGCTGAAATAAGGTATGACTACTGCTAGAACTAATTTGGTGTGTGACCATGACCAGCAACTGATCTACATTGTCAACATATCAAATGTATATGGTTTTACCTTAACAACCCTTTCCTGGTCTAAAGCGTACTTTTCAAGAATATTTATACAGTCATCCTTGGAAAAGAAGATGGAAAACAATTAAAGGGAAATTGATGGCTAAAAATTATAACATTAAAAAAATGCTTACTATCATAATGTAAATATATTTCTTTCCCTTGGTCACTATTGGGTTTTTGCTATGGTTATTTTGCCCATGCAAAAATTAGTTACTATTATAATATCCCACGAGGGGAGGGGGGATTGAAGGACAAAGAAAAACTACAAAGAGTGCAAGCAATTCCTGTATAAACTTCCCAATGACCCTGTTTGCTGTTTGCTTTGCTAAATTTGGAGTGAGAATTAGTAGCTGTTTTAACTTCCATGGGAGAGGGGTTTCAGAAGAACAAGGGAAATTACGACTGTGAGCATTTCTGTTTTTAATTCACTTCACTGATAATGCATTAACACATTCATTAAAAATTAATTTATTTACTGCTCAGCTTAGCCTCCTCAGCAGGCTTCTCCTTGGCTCTTTTCGCTTCTTGGGCTCCCTGTGGCGAGTACGAAGGGGGAAGGGGGAGGGGAGGGCCAAAGAAGAAGAGGAGATTCTACTCCTCTCGCTTTTTCTCCCTCCATCGTCCCCACTCCTCTTCTCGTTCCTAGTTCTTCTCTGCTATAGAATTTAACACAGGTATCCCAACAAAGAATATATGGGGTAGCCTACTGAGGAGGCTATGCTCAGCTGTGAGTGTTGCTTTTAGGTTTGATAAATCAGGTGATATTCATTACCTTTGCTATTGACCCAAGAGCCTCTGCACACTCATGTCTGACCATGGGGTTTTCATCCTTATCTGCAAGGTTCTGAAAACATATACAATAAAATATATCACAGTCAAATCAAAGAGCCAATACATTAATATGTATTATGTATTAGTTAATAGTATGTAGCCTTGAGAAAGCATCTGAAAGAAACCTTTCTTGAGCTCTGATTCCTGAAACAACATCTTGACTGAACTACAAGTCAGGGCAAGGCAAATTCTCAAACTTGATTTGAGACTTGTATGTTTAATTGGCGTTACATGGAAAACCACAGAATCTGGATAAAATCCTTCAGGCCCAACAAACTGTGCTACCAAAACCAGGAATCAAAGACCCCAGAAGTAAATGAGATGAAGTCACAATAACATGCAATACTGTAAACCAGCAAAGCCAGCTGTTGCCCTAATTACCTTAGCTAATTGTTCAATAGCAGCTTCATGTTGCATTTGACCCAAAACATATGCTATAATAGAATAATATGGAAAAATTAGGGCATATTGCATCCCTGACAATAGACCCCTTGCAGTTTGTCAAAATGCAGCTCAATTTGGAGGACATACAATAGGTTTACAATTCCCATGTGATTGAAATTCCTTTGTTTTGTCTTCAAAATTGCGCTGCTTTGAGGTCACATGCAAGGGGTATATATAGGAGTCGACATGGCAATAGTAAGGGTATATAAAAACCAAAAAAGATTGAATATATTTCCTGCAAGACTACATGTAATCCAAAAAACAATTCATATTACTTACCCACTTCATGCCTGAAAAGCGCACTTTCACAATTAAGTCCCTCGGCAAGAGCCTGCAAAAGCAATTAACAATTAATTTTTTTTCTCAATTTTATGGTTTCTCAAAGGTTTGGGGTTAAGTCCCGAAGTTCCTCAGAGAGAGCAGGCACACCTGCAGACACAATTAACAGTCAATTTATTTTGCCAATTTTATGGTTCCAGAAAACAACTATCCCTCCCCAACCATGTAATGGCTTGAATGTTTGGGGCAAGTTGAAAGGGTTGGGGGTGTCCAGTCACTTAGGCTGGAGTAGACAACATGACAACATTTTTTGAATTGACTGTATGTAGTATATTTAATGATGAAAATTAGTGGGGATTGACACTGCTCGTAAGACCAAGTAAAACTTACCAACACAGCTTCTCTGCCACCAGCGTTTCTCAAAGAAAACATTGACCTTAAAAAAAGCAAATAATGTCAGAATGTGAGATGGATCATCCTGGTAAAAATATACCTACATGTATGTCTAAGTGAGAGTTTGTAATATTTTTTTATGTAGTACAAGAAATTATCAATACCCATCTCCACCCAACAGAGGATTTTTTAAGACCCTACCCCTGGAAATTCAAATTTTCTTACATACAAACTAGGTAATTGTTTTCTTTCTCTGACCCCCCACCCCTAGGAATTTCCCAATTTCTCCATGAAGGGGCAGGGGGGGGGGGGGGATGAGGGGGAGGACTACCCATTTACAGTACATAATATTCATATTTGAAAAAAAAAAAGGAATCAATGATGGTGTAGCATTTGTAGACCTTTTGACTTTGGGTGTTTTCCCATTTCAGGAATAAGAAAGTTTGTTTAGTTACATCCATTTATTCATGTTTCTTCTCATGCACAACTGTTAAACAAAGAAATAATACTCTAGGGATTAATAACACCTGGTCTGAAATGGGAAAACACTTTCTCCAAGGTAAAAATGTCTGTAATTATTATTCATTTTCTGTACACACTCTAAACAAGTACCTATATCTTTCAAAGAGAGGCTTGGATTCGTCCAGTAATTGATTCTTTAGTTTTGGTATGTCTAGATCCAGGGCTGGTGGCGCTGGATCTACAGAGTTATATGGGTTGGAACTGAAAGGTTAACCACATACATGTAAATGACATAAGAAAACCAGAACCAAAAAGAGTTATTTGTCAAAGTCTTTGAAATTGTCTATATGCATTTTTTAGGAAAATAGTAAAAAACCAGGAATGCACAAACCTTAATTTGTCTCCCTCAAGTGTATGTTTATTATCCAACCATTCTATTCTTCTTACAGCAAGCTGACATGTTTCTGAAACCTGGAAAATGAAATGAAACAAATTAAATTAAAATGAAATAACTGACTGACCAACTGACTGAGCAACTGACTAATTGACCAAGTGATGGACTGACTGACTGACTGACTGACCGACTGACCGAATGACCGACTGACTGACTGACCGACTGACCGACTGACCAACTGTCTGACCAACTGAACCACTGATCGATTGACCAACCTCATTTCATTTCATCTCTTCTAATTTCTGATTTGACCTGATTGCTCAAATAACAAAGATAAAAACATATGATGGTATTAAGGCAAAACTTCCACGACACTACCTCTATTACTGGGTCATTTTCATATTCTTTTAAAACTTCAAGGGAATCCATAGAACCAATAGCACCCAGAGCCTCTCCAGCCTGACCAAAAAATGAGAAAATAAATGTATATATACAATGTATTGGTATATTAAAAATAAAAATAAATCACTTTATTTAAGTGTCTAGTCATTCTAAGGGTTTTCGCACTAATTGGGGACACTTTTCGCTCACACACACTACCACTACAATCAATATTCTATGCACACAAAGCTCAACTCACATGTTGATTTTTACAGAGGGAGGAAACCAGAGAACCTGGAGAAAACCCTCGTAGCATAGGAGAGAACAACACATCAAACAAACTCTCAATTCACATGTGTGGCAACCGCTGAGCTTGAACCAGCGACCCAATATATTAACAAAACAGTTTTGAAAAGTCCATCTTTCTATTTTACCAATACCAATAATTTCTAAAAGGGGATAGAGGAAAAATATATAATTCCATCAGTGAGTACACCATAGCTGCCATAAGAGACCTACAATCAGTGAAATCAAATACCTTGAGGCCCAAAAGAATAAAGCCCTATTTTAATAGCAAGCAATATCAGTTCATATGTGACCGTAAATCAAATAAGAGTAGGAATATTTACCTCATGTCTGACCATTGCTTCCTGATTTTTATCTTTCAAAACTCTTTGTAGAAAAGAGAAAATATATGATTTAGTGAATAAAATTACCATTGAATTACCATTGGCCAAAAAGCATCTAAATAACTCACTTTGTTAGAATAGGGATTGCATGTGTATCCTGTGAAATAAATGAGTAAAATTTCATCAATATACAAATAATAATTCTTGAACTCAGAGCAAAAATTATTGATTCAAGTATAAGATATTTCAACTGTATCGCACAGTCCTACTCAGCCTTGAGGCTGTTTCAGGTTATGAAGGACTATCACTTACTTGCATTTGACCCAAACAATATGCCAGTTCATGTTTTAACAGAGCCGAAGGATCATCAAATCCTATTGTAGAAGAAAAACAACTGTTACATGTGCTACATACAGTATGAGAACACCTCATTACATCACAAACCCCTTAACACAGAACCAATAATAATATACACTTGAAAATGAGAAGAATAATGTCTTGCCCAAGCAGAACTATACCTTGAGATATAAAGTCAATAGCTGTAGTACCACCAAGATTTTTAAGAGTAAAAAGAGCACGAAATCGTTCTGAGAGGGGTCTATAAATAAATAACATAATAAATAAATAAATGAAATAATAATAATGATGACGATGATGATGATGATGATAATGATGATGTTGATGATGATGATAATGATGATAATAATATAATGGAGTTGTGAATGTAAATATCTATAAAGAGCAGGTGAAAGAGATAAAAAAGTCTCCGCAAGGCCATTTCACTAAAAAGTATTTGTAGGTCATAAATAATTTTTCTCCAGACAAAAACAGCTGATTCGTATTCTTCATTTGCAATAGACGTCATAGCCGCCATGTTGGAAGAATTTGACAAAAGATTTATTTTCAACGAATTCTTTTGTTATGTCTTCCAACATGGCGGACATCCCTTTTGTTATTGTGCTCTCTTGGGATTGATTGCAAACCAAGGATTAACAGCTCAAAGCTGATTCGAGTTGCTGATCATGGAGTTGAAATTTCAATGCTGTAAATAATCCAAAATCTCTTTCTAACCTCTACAGAGTGTAAACTAGATTAATAAATATACAATAAACAAGTATTTAGACTTTGATAAAAATACGACAAAATGAATCGAATTGAGAGTAAACGTTAATTTTCGAACATGGATGGAATCCATACCTTGAAGAATCAAGTAATTGTTGGCCGATTCCTTCGATAGTCGACTTGTCAGCCATATTGCTTACTTCAGTAACTCCCAAAATTATCTTTCTGAATTTTTTCTTGTTTTAAAGGTGCTATAAAAAGCCTAAATACTCTCGTTTTATCGTGACTTTTACTAAAACGTGGATAGTATATTGCATAATTGGATTTTAAAGAAGCTCCGCTGGATACAAAGCTAGTGGGCGCAAAGATAGCGCGAAGCACAGGAAACCCAAGCAAGGTACATTTTTGCATTCTTCATATCGTACTTCTTTTTAATGTTGCTTTTCGGTGTCTGTAATCGCGGTCTGAAGGTAACACAATGAGTATAAATCTAGTTCTCTTTTTGTCTCGGTAAAACCACAAAAATGCTAAAATTTTTATGAACAAACATCGGCTAAATATGAAAAGAATACAGCAAAGAAAATAACTTCCGGGTCAAAACGAAAAGTAGTTCAACAAAGATTTTTCTTACTTTATTACATAGATGTTTTTTTTTTTTCAAAGTTCTATTTTGTTTAAGTTGGTTAAATCATTAAATTTTTATTTTGTTATTTTTATTTTTATTTGTATTTTTAATATTTTTAATGTAGTAATTTAGCGGTTTTTATGATCATATGGACCAGTCACAAATTTAAAAGCAATGAGATTGGTTTGCTGGGCTTCCTGTGTACGTAAAGGCGGGAAAATACGACGCGCGTGCGCCGTTTCTGGCGGGAAATTTCGAGTTGAAGTGAAAAGCAAACAAGAAACTACGTGCAAAGTTTCTTTGCTTCGTTTTCTTTAAATTTCTTACTTTTTTCAGCAAGAAAAGAATTCCTTATACACCTTGACGCTTTCAGAAATATTCAATCATTCAATTTACTATTATTTAAGCAAAGTATCGAAACGAATTGTGCAGCAAAGCTTCTTTTACGATGGCAAGTTCTCCGAAATTTCATGTCGACGTCATTTTTAATTCTTTGAGGGAACTCGAGCAAGGTAAGGAAGTTTTATTAGAAATATTTTTTTAACAGCGTTAAAATTGGTTTCTTTCTTAAATTAATTCTCATTACTGAAAGGTTTTATTTTGTGGTAGCCAGGAGTACTACTCCTAAGCTTACTTCAATGATACAGCTTTATGTATGAGTTCGATTTTTAGTGTTTCGGATAAGCCTAAGCCTGATATGAGATTAATCTTGAATAGATAAGCTTTCTTTCTATTGATTATCATAGAAAAAGAGAGGCTACTAGGCAATTTGAATGAGCAGAGGAAAAAGCGCAAAGCTTTGGAAGAAATAGTTGTGACGGGTAAGCTTCATAGTAATTCAGGTGTGTGTGTTTTAGCGAACGATCGTATTTTTACCACCTTTCTATTCGTTTGACAAATCGACAAATCAAAGACTTTCTCTCAAGAGTTTTAACATTTCTAAAGGTGAAATTACTTTAATGCTGGAGTGAATTAAATATAAAAAGAAGAGTACATATTACAAAATATATTCGCCATTTATTTAGCTTATAAATCTTCAAGACTTCGGTTGTTTTTACAGTCAAACCAGTACAAGCGTGAACACGTAGAGGCCTTTATGACTTTATTTTTGAATTCTTGATTTCACTATTCGATTCCAACATTCATTATTGAAAACGAATATTTAAATCCTAGCATATACAAAAGCCAAGCATATATATATGCAGCTGAAATGCAAGAGCAGCTTCCGCTATAGACAAGAGACTAATAAGGCAGTGCCTACATGCATTTTTATATTTTCATTTATGTATGAAGCTCATGCTAAATGCAAGCAATCAAGTGACAGAAATACTCAATTGAAAGGTATGCTTACTTCATAAACTTTAAGTTATAACTTTAGTTACTATTGCAATAAATCAAACTAATAACATTGTTTCAAATTGCAAATGATTTCTTGTTTGGCGTTTTTACATCATGTTTTAAGTGCTGTGCATTCAAATTTAAGGTGACTGCCTTCCTTTTGGAAAACGATTTAAACTTTTTTAACACTTCGATTTTCCGAATGGGAATTTAATGCTTATTCCAAATCTGGAAAGAAAAATTGGGTGTCCCGAGCTTGTTTTCGAGGTAATCATCATTTAATTAATGGAAGCCTACGCGCGAGCTTTTGGAGCAAAACTTGCACCACCGGAAGTGATTAGAAAAATTATGATTCATAAGATAATAGTTATTTGCAGACTATATGATTGCACGAACGAAGGCTAGTCAATCCTTCTACAAAAATACATGGATATTTTCGACAAAAAGACAGAAAAATAGATTGATTTGTCATATTTTGTAGTTTCGGTGCTCTTAAAAAATCTCATAAAGTCGAACAAAAATCCCTACAAAAATCTATTTTTTCACGGATCGCTGTTCGCTTTTTGGGCCGTTTGTTCGTTGAATTCCATTTCAGATTGATCTGAGTGTCAGCGTCTCCTTAGTCAATGTCAACAATTTAGGTTAATATAATGCGCATCCGAAATTTTTTTAAAAAATTGCCCTTGATATGATGAGAAAGTAACTAGTTTAACTCTTTTCAATTTTTGATATTCTACTTCTACTTATATAAAGAAGCTGTAAATGTGGCTCATGAAAGAGTCTTGCAAGCAGAGGAGCAAGCAGAAAGGTAATCCTACAAAGTAATTTTAATCAATGTTATCCGCTAATTTAAAGAGTGATTAATCAAGTGAAGGCGCTAACGTTTTTCGACATTTAATCATGTACATGAATGCTATATCTTTGAAATATGCAGTATATTTCATATCCATCTTTCCTAAAATGCTTTGGAACGCGTCCAAGTCTTAGTCTACCACTCAGCCGTTTTCCTACGATTCCCCTACAAATTCCCTACAAATTCCCTACGATTCTCACCACATAAGGTGTGTGGGGAGAGAAGTGGACAGTAGGGGAATGCGGAACGAGATTAAAACGGCTGCGAGGGAGACTATCCAAGTCTAAAAATACGGAGAAACAGGTAAGATCGACCATTGGTAAAATCACCCACCTTCCTTCATGAGGGCTTAAAATTACTGAATGTAGCGTGGGAGAGGAAGGGGTGACAAAAATCGTGGAATCCTGGATGTCAGAACAATGTCGTTGTAGGATCATAAATATATAACCTCGGTTCATTTGATATTTCTTAAGGCTCAAGTCATTAAACGAGGAAAAACGCAAGAGCATATCTGAAGTGAACAAAATGCTAGAGAACGAAGACCAAAAAGAAAAAGAAGAAGTGTAAGGCAATTCAGTATCTGATTTATAGCTGTATGCCTTTCGCTCCATGCAAATCGCTTTTATATAACAACACTGTGATTTTCTTATCAGATGAATTTATTTATTACATGGTATAATATAGTCGTTGGTAGGTTTTTAAATTTTAGTTCTGGTGTTTGTTTATTTCTCGAATTCCCTCTCTACAGAACTGCCTTTGAAAGCGAGCTTTCAGAACTAACTGAAAAATTAAGAGGCGCAAGACGCTATTATGTAAGTACGATGATCTAATTTTTTTCAAATACATCATCCTAAGTATTCTTAGTTTCAAAATCATGACTCAAAAACCCTCGAAATATAATAAATAATGAAACTGCAGCCGCCATGTTGGCTAATCTAATTGAAGCCAATAAGGAATACTTTGTTATCGTCAACCAACATGGCGGCTTGTGACGTAACATAAACTCCAGGAATAACTGACAGCTTTCTCGGGCACTAATGAGTGGCCGAGAAGAGTTGTTGTTTCATAATACATGTATAGATAGTTTTACTGCTACAATAAAAATTGCTTTCTGATACTGCTACCATCAAGGAAAATCAAAACCTACGAAACGAACTTAAAAAGTGGGAAGAGTCTCAGGATGAATATCAGAAAAAAGGTACGAAGAAATTAAGAATATGCATTTCAGTATAACTATTTTATCTTTTTTTTTTTTTTTTAAATCATTTCGCATAAATTTAGTAGGACATGTTTGAATTTTCATCCCAAGAGTCTCCTTAGAGGGTCCTGAAGGGATAAGGGAAACTGTATTTGCTTATTTTACCCTATGAAAAGGGGATTTACGCCACTGAAACGATAAAAAGAACAAAATGGGATTGCGTTTTTGAAGAAAAAAATGGAATTTGGACGCTGGAAAGTGGGAGTTGTAAAAAAATGGGATTGACATCTTTTCAGGAGCCTCTCATTATCATTCACAGTTTGAAATAAAACTACTGATATGTTTTAAACAGTTGATGCAGAGCTTTCTGCGCTAAACGAGCTTACTGAGGCTCTCAATAACATAGAATTGGACGTCGACAAGTTAAAAGGTAACTAAGAACCAGTTAATTGTCCCCATACAATATCCAAATTTTACACTTTCATTAATGAAATGATGGATGGATGCATGGATGCATGGATGCATGGATACATGGATACATGGATGCATGGATGCATTGATGGATGAGCTAAATGGACGAATGAGACAATGATTATATAATGAATTGAATGAATGAAAAAATGCAAGAAAGAAAAATGTTGCTAGTAAAGAATAAAAAGAGAATGAACAACGGATTGGATGACGTAAAATCATAAATACTGTCAGCTATCAGTAAGAAAGTTTATTTAATAATTACAGAAAAAGAGATCAAGAAATTAGAATATGATTTAACAGCTCAAGATCTCCAATCAGCGTTGTAAGTCAGCATTATCTGAGCAATAGTTTCTGCATCGACATTTTTCCAGAACAAATTTACTTGACTATAATACAAACAATTTTGGTTAACTGAACAGGGAGTCTTCACTTCTAGCTTCACTCTAACTTTCTTTTATTACTTTTATCACATCTTAGTATGTGATGGCAGGGTTGGATGATTGAAAAGAAAATGAGCGAACCTAATATTTGCTATTCGCTGGGAGAGATTACGAGACTAGGTTAATAAAGGGAAGGGGGGCGGGGAGAAAGTTTTTTCTAAGTTAAGGTGCAAGTGAAGGTGGAAAATGAAAATAAACTAGAAAATGATATAACTATATACCTATACGTGCAACATCACTATCTTTAAAGTCGCAATGGTGGTATGAGAGGGGAAGGATCAGTAGAAAGGGAAAATGATTCTAGAGTCATCTTTTATAAATAACATCATTCTCATTATTTTCTATCAGAGTCGTTTTTAATGGTATAAAGCAAGAAGCTGATCAATAT